GGGGGGGGGGGGGGGGGGGTGATCACCTTGAGAAACCGCAAGCCTGAGTCGGGCCAGAAGTAAACAGGCCGCCCTGGACCTGAAAGCATTAACCCCCCTAGACAAAACCACCAGCTCTATCAAAAATGAACCCCGTGAAACCTATCAGCCTAAATCCTGATAACACCGTAACCCATAGCCTAAAGACTCACCACTCTCATAATTTCCCAATATATTCCTTGTAAGTGCTCCTTATAGCAGGCCCGACCTGGTTGGGCAGGAGACATGGCGCCAGCTCTACCTTGCCGTCTTGTGCCTTGCCAGCTTGTTTTGCAAGAAGAGACTTACGCTGCCGAAACGGAAGCTTCGAAAGGGCTTGAACATTTGTAGAGAGAATAGGATTCTGTGTTGCGTAGATGGTGCCATAATCATGTAGGGAATACAACTAGGATATAACTACATGAGGTATGGTGTTTTCATTAGGGTTTGATATTCAGTCTTCAGGCTTCTATTGCATTCTGAAGCCTTTAAGCCCTTGGGCCCCCACATGCTCCTAACGTCCGGCTCGGAACTTCTGAAGTTTGGGTTCCCAGTGTTGTCCCTTCGGGTCTTGAAGTGCCCTTAGTAGGACCCTCCGCTGTGGTCGTGGCATTTAATTAGGATGTTTGGGTGAGGGCGAGGGGTTGTCGTGTGGCATGAGGCTGAGAACAACCTATATCGTGTGTGTTAGGACGGACCTCTACTCAGCTTTAAGCAACTTAGCCGAGCTTGGGAGTCAGAGATTTGGAGAGTAGTTGCGGAGTATCCATTGGTTCATGTGTTGGGGGTTTGGGCTCGGGACACCTTGATTGGTCTTGGGCCGTCCTGTTGGTTAGGTGCAAGTGTTTTCGGATTTCAAACATGATTTAATCTGGAGGACGATAAAACATCCAACTTGTACTGGTTGCTCTAATCTGCCGAGGCGGCCGCGATGTGATGGCATCTACGTCGGTGAGTGTGGCTTTCAGCGATGGCTCCGCGTTGGCCACCACACGGTCCCCGGGAATGTTGTGGGATTCGGGACGTGCAAGGGGGGTTGATAGAGTCCACTTTAGCTTACACGCAGTTTTGCAAGCGCTTACGAGAACAAGTGCCCTATATAAGGGACCTCAAACGACAGAACCAGCCTGATGTGTCGGGTTCAGGATTTGGGTTTTCTTATAATTACATGGCAGGAAGCACCCTTGACCTATTAACCTCAAATATTGAAGGACATGCGCAAGAATGCCGCCGCACTGGCTGCCTACGGCGGCCGCGGAGGGCAGGCATCACCCTGAGGATTGGGGGTTGCGAGGGATCGATAATCTAACGACAGCATCTTTTCCAGAACAAACCCAATGAGCGAGATCTCGAGGCCAAAGCCCGGTGCTTCGTTTGCCCCCGGAGCGTTCCGACCAGCCCTAGACCCCTTAAGGAAGGGATCTTTTGTGTATGCTCCAATTTGTGACCTACATTTCCTTCGAATATTAAATGGTACGAGCAGCCTGTGCAGCAGCGGCTGCGAAGATGAGCCTCGGATGTCGACCTTCAAAAGTCTTCTCTGCTTTCGTTCAGAGCCACTTAGGACTTAGGACTCACGGCAGATAGCTTGAACTCGTAAGAGGCCAAGATGCTGGTCTGTGAGCTGACCATACAGAGAGAGGAGTGTTCTAGCTCATTCTAGCTCAGGATTCCTTACCAGCTGAAGTCTGAAAGGTATCCCGATTTAAATGTCCTGCTAGACACAGCCTTCTTGCCGCCATGCAGAAGCCTTAGTTGAGTCCAAGTGCAACCCTTGCGCGAGGCCGAGTGGGTGAGTTACCGACGCTACCTTCGGCTTCTGCCGCCGGATGCAGAGGTGCGATGCACAAATGTTGTTTCTTGAGAGTAGGACAAACCTGCCGCCGTTGTCGAGTCAGTCACGATCATTGTATGTGTAATTTCTATTGCTTCCTGTGATGATTTCGCTGTCCCTCAGTACTATGCTGGTGCGGACTCAGGACTTTTCAGCATAAAGGTTGTCTTGGGGTTCAGCTCAATCAACAGGGACTACTCCACGATGGGTACCGCTTCTCCAATCGATGACGCGTGCAGCTGACTTTCGAGCACAGCTGAGCCGCCAGCGTGCATGCCAGCATAAGCACACCTTTGCCTGGCTAGCTTCAGTTTAGAACAACCATCACCAGTTCACCTGTACTTTACTAGCGTGTCCATTTACAGAGAGCTGTTCATTAGGGTGCATTTCGGTTTGTTTCTACTTACACTTACACAGAATATATCAAATGCCCCAGCCGCTGAAGCCCACGTTGTCTTTCGATCCCAGGGTGGCCGCCGTGTTCTCGTCCTGCAAGACCCCTGTCCCAGAAACGCCGCTGAGCGAGTGCCCTGCATCGACTTGAAGGATGGTCGTTTCAGATCAAGGGTGACGCTTCATGTGGAGGGTATGTACACATTTGATGTACGTAATGTACTGCAATGCAATGTAATGCAATGTAGTGTAATGTAGTGTAATGTAGTGTAATGTAGTGTAATGTAGTGTAATGTAGTGTAATGTAGTGTAATGTAATGTAATGTAATGTAGTGTAATGTAGTGTAATGCAGTGCAGTGTAGTGTAGTGTAGTGTAGTGTAACGTAATGTAATGTGATGTAATGTGATGTAATGTAATGTAATGTATGTATGCATGTATGTATGTGCGATGATGTATGTACGTATGTATGTATGTATGTATGTATGTATGTATGTATGGACAAATGTATGTATGTTTGTTTGTTTGTCTGACTGAGTCTGTTTGTTCATTTGTGAATAGTTGGGTGGGCAGATCGATAGTTAGTCAGATGGATAGCTAGGTAGGTAGGTAGGTAGGTAGGTAGGTAGGTAGGTAGATGCATTGATTGGTTAATTGGTGGATTGGTTGAGTGGTTGGTGGATTCATTGAGTGCCTGGTTGATTAACTGATTGATTGACTGGTTGACAGGTTGATTGATTGGTTCATTGGTCGTTGGGAGGATAGACAGATACATTGATTGACTAATTGTTAGATTCCTAGCCGTTTTGTTTTTTTTGATTGTGTGTGTGTGTGTTTGTTTTTTTGTTCTTTTTGTGTTGTTGTGTTTTTGCGCGCATGTTGGTCGCATTGCTGAGGGTGAAGCAGATAGCCCTAACATCATTACCAGCAACCTATTGCATATCTTACGAGCAAGCTGTAATGAGCTCGAAGAATCCATCATCGCCAATCCTCACGGCCGTAACTGCGATCTGTGTATTCTCTACAGGCTCTAGAGAAGCGAGGTAGGTGAGACGTTGCTCCCTCTCTGCTCCGACAGATTGATCCTTGCAGGTTTTATGCAGTTCGATGCTCTGTTTGCATCTATCCCCCAACTAGCTACCGACCGCCAGCACTCCAATGCACTAAATCCAGACCAGAAACCCTACTTCCCCAAAACCCTTAAACCCTAGAGCCCTAAACCCTAAGCCCGAACCCTGAACCCTTGTGGGCATAGATCCTCAGCCATGCGAGAGGGAAAAAACCCTGAACCCAGGCCCCTGTGCCCGCCCCAGCGTGCATGCAACAAGGTCCTGGTCCATGGGGTCGACTTCGCCACCCACTGCAACCCAGAGACCCGGCCTTGCAAAGCATCGCCTTTGAGTCTAGGATTTAGATTTGTATGTGTATGTATATATATATATGTATATATTTATACATATGTATATGTATGTGTGTATATATATATGTGTGTGTTATATGTACATATATGCATATATACATATGTATATATATAAATATATATCATTTGGCTGGTGGACAGAGAGTTGATTAGCAAGGAGGTTTGTCATCCGATGGAGACATTGAGTAGAAGCTCCTGTGGCTGCCTGGCTTTCTCATGAGGCTACAGAGCCGTCCCTGGCTACACAGAATATGACAAGAATTCTTTGCTGGGTGTTCATGTTAGCCTCAGGCGAAATCCGGGGGGCTTCCGGATGGAGCCGTGCCGTCCGCGAGCGACGCGGACCGAATCAGGCGACGGATTTGCGCGACGGGGCTGCATTGTGGCGGACGTAAACATGTTTGCTGCTGCACCTGTGCAATGATAATGAACTTCGAAAATCCGTAGGCTATCCGACTTGGCTGAGCCTCAGCCCAAACAACAGTTGACTGCTTGGGGCCTCTGCCGAGTAATTACTGGGTGACTCGCAGGTACTAACGCAGAAAGCAGGGTGTTTCCGTCTCAGCCTTTGGTTCTCAACGCGCAGACTCTACAATCTGAGGTGGGCACGTACAGCTTCGATCCCAAGGAGGCGCCTTGCGAGAGGACTTCGATGGCTCACGGAGGGTGTCCTCACAGATGTTGGCTTCGGTGCAAAATTGCAGTTGCGCCCGGTGTTGGATTCAATTATCGTGGGTGACCGCGGTCCTTCCTGTTTCACAGAGCTGCAAAACATGGGTTCAAGCAAAGGCTTCTGTGCACTGATTATATGAAGCAACGAGTCTTTCAGGAATGACCGATGCAGGAGGTCGGATGAGTCGTCTCGGAAAACTCAAACTGCATGGACTGTACTGAAACCATGAACCGCCTAGTTAGGGGATGGGCGAGGGTCGAGCTAACACTCCATCGTCACGCAGCATTTATCGAAGACTCACGGGACCGACTCAGGCCATGGTGCACGTTACCTATGAGGCCACAGATGGCGAGTATCGGCATCTGGCCCGCACTTAAGCGAGAGCCCGTGGTGCACGTTGGAGGCTTTTGGGCCTACACGCTTCAAGATCCGAAGCCTGCTTGGTTGCTGGATTTGAAGCCCCAATTGCCAGGCTCGCCTTTTCACTGCGCCATGGTGGGGCGCGAGTGACTTCCGACTGTCTCACCTGGGCGCCATGGTGGAATCAGTTCGATCTTTGGTTCCGTGCGGAACTGCGGGGCTTCTGTGTCCATTTTTTCCTTCCGAGTCTGGAGCCCGGAGATTCTTGAATCTGCTGTGGGGGTGGGGGTGTAGGGTTTCCGGTGCCCTGGGCTACAGCTGAACCCAAAGTCTGAAACCAGGCCAAGGCCCTGTCAAAACCTGAAGGGTCGTCGTGCGAGCACCGAAACCCTGAGAGTCGATTGCAACCCCCTCAGCCCCCCAGGGCTTAGGGTTTAGTAGGAAGAAAAAAAGGGGTTAAGGGTTTAGTAGGAGGGGAAAAAAGGCGTTAGGGTGCCTAGGGAAGGGTTTTAAAAAAGAGAAGGTAGGAGTGAACCCGGCGAAGGAGAGCTATGAGCTAGAGGACCGGGCCCATGCCGGCGAGGTGCAAAGCAAAGGTTTGAGTCCGGTCTATGGGGCCAAGGGTTGAGGGCTCACACTTTAGGGTCATGTCTATGAAGACATATTCACGTGTAACATGTGTGATTTTGATTTCTAGCCATCCTTGAAAACAGATTCCATACAGTTCCAAGCTGTTCCAAGTCTATGGGCACTTTGTGCAAAACAGGCAGGAGCCAGGGGATTTACATGCTTTCACGCACAGGTGGGTTGGAGGTTGAGGCACAAGCAAGCCTTTCAGCGTTGATATATTGCGATAGCGTATTCGCTAATGAGGAAAAACTGAGCTGGCAAAACGCTGCTTGATCCAGACTCCTCCTTTGTGTCTGCATCGGTGGGGCTTCAGAAAAATCAAGGCACACATGAGTCACGTGGGTTTGGATTTCAATCCACCCGACTGCACATTGCCAGCATCCTGCTCCAAGTTTACCGGAGAGCCGGAACTCGAGAGCCTTCCTGGGGCCGCAAAGCCCCGATCCCGAAAGTTGAAGACCTGTCCGAGTGTTAGAACGTACAAGTCCGAAGACAGTACGCCCACAAAACGCCGTGAACTTGACACCGCAGAGCTGCAAGAGACATGCTCCTAGCCTAAAGCCCTGAAAAGTGAACCCATAGGTCATGAGTGGGGAGGAAGTTGCATGTTTTTGACACCCCTGATGGCTCACTTCCGGAAAGGAAGTCCGATCTTCTCACGAAAGTGAGTGACTCGCACAAGTATGTTAGAAGTCGTGATGTTTTGAACTTTTGCCGCAATTATACCCTGCATCGTAGGTTCGTCCTAGCCAGGCGGAAGGCAAAAAAAGGTTATGATGCCACGCAGCGTTCCCCATCCAAATCACCAAGCTTCCCAAGCCTCGAACTGTGAGATCGTGAACTTCAACCTCGGGCGACTACCGGATTGGAAGGGAGGATCCTGGGGCAGTGTTCAGGGGTGGGGGATGTAGGGGGAAGTTTATAGAATTTTGGGCTTGTTCAGGAATAAAAAGAGCCGTGCTGAGTTTGCCTTTTGGAGGGCTGTGTTTCTATACAACTACAACTCAACAACAACTACGACTACTGCACCACCGCCACCACCACCGCCGCCACCATCGCCGCCACCACCACCGCCGCCACCACCACCACCACCACGACCACGACGACGCCGACGACGACTACTGCCATCACCACCACCACTACGACTGCTGCTGAAGAGCCCTAAGCTCTTAGCTCCGGATGCTTAGGCATTCTCCCGGGCCCCGGGAAGCGAGAAAACTGGGATTCAGGGCTTAGGATTTGCAATTTTGGGGGCCCTAAACCCTGAACCGTAAACCGTAAAGCCTGAACCATATCAATGAATCTTTCGACAACTTTCGACTCTGGGTATGCTCTTATTGACTTGGGCCCCATTGGAGTTTGGCAGTCGGGGTTCGATCTACATCGCAAGCCTTGCGAGACAGAAGAACCAAAGCTAACCTCGCTTGTGGGTATAGTTCTCAGCCATGCGAGAGGGAAAAAAACCCTGAACCCTAAATCGCCACTGCAACTGCCGCTGCCACTGCTACTGCTACGACGACTACAGGGACGGCTACTACTACCACTCCTACTCCTACTGTACTCTTACTGCTACTGCTACTGCTACCGCCACTGCTACTGCTGCTGCTGCTGCTGCTGCTGCTACTGCTGCTACTACTGCTCCGGCTGCTCCGGCTGCTGCTGCTGCTGCTGCTGCTGCTGCTGCTGCTCCTACTGCTCTTACTTGCATTACTACGCCGACGCCTGCCACGACGTAGTCTATGACTGCGGTCTCGGGTTGACTACGACGATGACAACAACAGTTACTGCTATTTGTGGACTAACCCGACCCGATGCAAGCATGGTGCATGGTGCATCAGGAGGACTGGAGGACGAGAACAAGGACCATTTTCCGCAGATGAATTTTCGACCGCAGGTGATGCTTGAATATTTAGCATAGGTTTCATCTTCGGCCCTGACTGCTCTTCCAAACCTATGGAGATGATACGATAATGAACCTTTATCCGCAAACTACGCGATCTTATGATGATGAAGCTCTGTCGCATAGAACTGCATCCCCGAAACCCCACTGGGCACGCGATCCTTCCACTTCCACGATCCTATGGGTTTGTCGACTAGTCGAGCTGCATACATTGCTGTGGGTTTCGGGGTTTACCATCATAGAAGTTAGTGTTCTGCGCCCCTGCGCCGGTCTTCTAAATGACTCGGACCTCCGCTGTTTAGCAGGGATGGTGGCTGTAAAACAGCCATCCTTAGCACGACCCAAAATGGGTACGTCTGTGAGGTGTGTGACGTGCATACTGAATTTTCGCTTGTGGTTGCGTGCTTGTAAGCAGTGTGATGAACAGGGCCAGGTGGTGCTGCTGGCTTGGTCAAACAGGCGAGTTGCAGGGAGTCAGAGCCTGTGTATGATGATCATCTCCCTGCATGTGCATTGATGCAGTTTCTCGGAGCAGAAATACAGGGTGCAGTTGCGAATGTGCTCAACTGAGCAACAACACTACCTTGCCAGAACGCTCTTGCACGTAGCATTTTCCACCAAGCAGCAAGCAGTGCATTGGTGCTTGGATGCGCAGGCAAAAGGTCTACGAGTTGCGGAGGGATGCAAAGAGGGAGGGGAGAGAGAGTGAGAGAGACCGGACAAGACAATAGAGTGACAGAGGGAGAGGAGAGGGAGACACAGATTTTTGTCGGGAGACTCTTTGTGCTTTCAAATTGTCAAAGTCCTGCAGGCGCACAGGTGGTCCAAGTGCCCGTGCTTGACTGACAGGCCCTCAAAGCTCCACCGAGAGAGAGCGGGAGAGCGGGAGAGACAGTTAGAGATGAACATACCTTCAAATCCAGCGCAGCCCCGATTCGGATAACTCCGGTTCCAGATACTCATCTGAGGCATATCCTCGTCGTCCACCCTGCCCTGCCAACACTCTGGCCGGAAAGGCGGGCAATCAGCAATCGCTCCAATCCTGCTCAACATGGCGTTGCGGCCCACAGCAGCTCGAAATTACTCTAAGTTTTCCTTCTTTTGCCCTTGCTAGGTACAAGTACCAGCGGACGAGTCTCGAGGATGCGCCGAGCTCCAACCTCTTGGACCCTGGTGACCAAATGGTGGAGAAGTGTACAAACTCCAAGACCTCTGTACAGCATGCTGTAGAGCTCTGCATGAGTAAATCAGTAAATTTATAACATAGTTATAAGAAAATGTATACGACAGCATTCCCCAATACCCACCTTGTTCTGATTATTCATGGACTGAGGGTTCTTTTACTTCCTACAGTACATCGACTTGTAGCTTGCTATGGCTGCTTTGGGTCTGCAGTCTGCACACTGACAGTCAAACTTCTGGGCGGTTCAAAGCAGAGCTTGGAAACCTCACTCCACGGCATCAGTCATCAGCGAGTCCCGAAGAGGGCTGTTAAAGGTCTGCATTCGCCCTAAGCCTCCAACTCCAGCACTCCACCTACGTCTCACAGCTCTGCATGCTGCCAGTATCAGTATAGGCAAAACACTCATGGTAATCCGAGGCCTTGAGGACAATGTGAGCACAAACCCTGCTCCCAAACTCTAGGCTCTAGACTGCAGTCAAGGAGCTGCTGCCCAACTCTCTCCGCTTCGTGGAGCGATGCATGAAGCAGAAAGGCCGCACGGAAATCGGATGAAGGGCTAAGGCGCATACTGGGCTCGACTTTTGGGGGCGAATCTTGAGGAATTCGTTCCTTCGCAGGTCCAGTGTTTTGGTACTTGGCTGGAGTCCTGAGATTTCAGGAATAGAGGTAGCGGTTAGGGCTGCCTAGGTCTAACTTCTAAGGTGCAGCCATGCTGGCAAGGGCTCAAGATGTCCTTCTCCAGAGCTTCGATGGAGATTAGTAAGTTGAATAAGGCTTTGGGGTACCTACTAATACAGCTGCACGGACTCTCAAGGGGATAGTATTCCTGATTAGTCAGGCCCCTACTCCTCGAAGAGCCGGCCAGATGAGCTTTCTCAGCCTGGAGGTTCACACTTGGACTTAGCCGCTCATTGCCTGGCGTGTCAAGGTGTGAGTGTCACAAAACCGTAAGTAGGGGTAACAAGATGTAAGAAGAAACTCATCTGGGTCTTGTCGAAAAACATGAGTAGGGTATCAAGTATGCAGGCAGGCGGCATGTATGTCTGCATGAATGTATGACTGCATGTGTGTGTGTGTGCATGCATGTATGTTTACCTGTATGCAGGTACGTAGGGAGGTAGGTAGGCACCCCAGATGTTGTTGGAGCTTAATCAAAAAAAGTTCCGTTGCAGTGTGAATGAACACGGGAAGGCCGACTTCTGGTGCACTGCACGAGAGGAATCTCTCGAAGCTCCAGCATAGCACGCGACCGAGTTTCGAGTCAATTACGGGCTTTCTGGTTTCAGGTGCATGCACGCTCCTCGGTTGAAGTCATTGCGCATGAAAGAAGCAGGGAACTTCGCAGCTGACAGTACGGGGGGGGATGTCGTCCTGTGCAGAAAGCTCCGTTAGTCATCGGAGATGAGTGTGGGAAGCATTGGAGACAGCTTTGGCTTGTGCATCCCGGCGCTGGAACCTCGGCTTGTGAGTGGGCCCGACGGTTGTCTGAGGTCATTGCTTACTTGATGCTGGCCAAGAGCAAGAGCTACGACGAGGCCAAGAAGTTGCTTGGACCCTGATTCTGTTTTACCGATTTTGCCTGGTCTTTACCAGTCTGGCATGGGCTAGATTGCTGGGTGGGAGTGTCGGATTAGAATAGGAACAGCAACAATGGCCTGTGTGATAATAATGACAATAGCCCAGCATGAAACCAATACGAGTAGCTGCAGCAACTGCAATGACAAGATCGTGCTTAGTCACCTGACAGATTATAATAGCATAAACATTTCAAGCCGACGCATCAAGCATAGTGCTGGGACGCTGGTGGGATAAACACAGCATGACAGCAGCAAGTTTATGTATCAGCCTGATACACCGCTCAGGCCTGCTCGACAAAGCCAAAACAAAATCAGATCCGGTCTGCATCGATCAAAGCCTAATGCTGCAAGGGAAGATAGCCTCGCAGCAGTCGCTTTCCAAGAAGTCCCCTCAGACTGCGAAGCCTAAAACCCAAGCCTCAGAGGTATAAATAGTTCGGGGCTCAAGGCCAAGACAGTCAGCAGTAAGTTTCGTCCAAACCCCAGGCAAGTGCAGCTGAAGCGCAGCGTGGCCCATCCTAATTTGGGATTCCAGGTGTCTCGGCATGCCTTCAATCTTGTGAATCACACTTGGCATGGCTGCTCCGAGGTGCTTGCATGCGTTGCCGGAATAGTTCTGAGTGCAACTTCAGGGATCTTCCGGGCTCATCTTGGGGGAATGGGGGGTATCAGGGGTTCTTCATCTTTTGACATTAGGGCATTGGATGAAGACTCAGGGTTTCATAGTCGCGTGCTATTGAAATTAGCTGTGCTACTGTTTTCCCTGTCGTTAGGCTCGGCCTCAGCCGGGTTGCATACACAGGAGTTGTTAAATCTATTCGAGCTATACGTAGTGTTTAGTAAGGGCGTTTGGGTTGCTACTGTAGGTCTGTAGTCCACGCGCTTTTTCAGCAGCCAGGTCCAGCTGCAGCACCTTGAGACTGTCGGCTGCATTGAGACATGCGTGTGTCAGTGTGGTGAGATGCTTCTCTGGCTTGGTCTCTTTAGTGTTCGGTTTGGGGCTTCGGGCTTGTCTTCTTAATAGCATAAGGTTGTACAGGTGCAGTCGGCGCCGTGTTTCGGAAGGAATGCTGCGCATCACCACAAGCTTATGGTTGAACGGGTCGGAATGTTCATGATCCTTCTGCAGGGTTCCAACAACAGAGAATTCTTATGCCATCATAGACCCAAATTGAAGGAACACCTAGAAGACGTGCGACGCTGCGGCAAAACCATGCAAGACGCAGCTTCAAGAGGCAAAAATGCACGAGAATTGTTGGAATTCGAGAATGCAAGGACCCCACAGAGTTGCCACGCTGGTACGGGAGTATCGCCTAAGCCGAAGTCTAAACCAAGAGTGCACCTCAGGTTTTCGAACCTGCAGGTGTTGAGCAAAGGACCGCTTGACTTGAAACTCGGACTGCCCGAAACTGTAAAGCCAAACCAGTCTCTTAAGCTCTTAAAACTTAAACTCGAAACCACGGAAAATGGGAAGTGATTCCTTTGATTCCTGTTGGCATTTGGAGCAACAGAGAGCCGTCGATGAAGGTCGCTGCTGAACACCCGGTCCCCACCTCGAAACTTCGAGGAAGTGCCGGGGAAAGAAGGGCTGGAAGCTTCCTTTTTCATTCTTTTGGGGTTTGGAGTTCCGGTAAGGTTTTGGCTTGATTGATGGGTTCGAAAAAAGGACAGCTATACCAACAACAGCTTTACTGGACCCGCTTTTCTCCCGAGTTCTCGCTACTCATGAATCAAGCCTGTGAACCTGCAAGTTGGCACTGTGGTTCCCTTCTTTCTATCAAGTGCAAGGACAAGTTATACAAGTTGATCGAGAACATGAGCTCTGATTTCGGTCATAGAGAAAGGCCACCGACGAGAAAGAGCAGAGAAACGGGCTTAGGCTCGGAAGCCGTCATGCGACGTTACAAGCGCAGGAATTTCGAGCGGGGCCTGGATGTTGCTTCTCAAGCCGTTTAACTCCTCTTATGGCCTGGAGCCTGTAGGCGTTTGAGTCTCAAAAATACGATCCGGGTGCCTATGCAGGAGCGGCTGCGCTGGCTCGGGACCATCGTTCCCACAGGAGACCTGACATCCTCAACTTCACCGTTTAAGCTGCTCCAGGCATTGCCCCCGAGTAAAGTCCGTGAGTCCTTCAGTCCAGTTTTTCCACAACAGTCGGGTGTGATCATGGTCCAGTGGCATGTTCAGTAGCTGGGGCTTCCCTGTTCGGTTCATCTTGTGCCAGTCAGCGTAGGCGAAGTCAGTTTCGGACCCTACTCCCCGAGCTTCAAGAAGCTCCGATTCCGTTGCCGCCGTGACGGGCTGAAGGCTAGCTAGGGGGCTCTCAAGAGATACAAGAAGTATCTATGCCATCTGTGTTATCTCCGTCTCGCAACCTGGGTGACTCGTCGAGGCGTTGGATGCACCGATTCGTTGCTGGCTGGAAGAGGCCGACGCATGATGCGCTACCACGATATAGGCTTTGAGTACAACTTCTGAGCCGTAGGAAAGACAGTGTCTTGAAACGCTTAGGCATGGCTCGGCATTGAGGATGCCACGTGAATTCACTGGCAGGTGTTTGTCAGGGAAAGCATGGTGACTCATTCCTGGAGACCGACGAAGCCTGCCATAAAGCCTTAAGTCAACCCTCAAACGGGGGTTGGAGCGCGAGTAGTGCCCAAACAGTCGCATGAGGAGCTGAATGTTCGGCTTTCAGTTGTCATTGCAGGCGCTCCCCGAGCATGTGCAATGATATCAAAGATTGAAAGCTCTTATGCGCGCTCGTTTCTGGGTGTAGTAGGGTTAGGAGATTCCATCGGGTTACTTCTTGTCCTGGTGCAGGTGTCAGTGCTTTGTGAGAAGCTCCTTGGACCATCCGAAACCAACATGCACGTAATAGCTAGCAGATGTGACCAAAGGACCAGCTGTCGCAGACCCTGAGCAACCCAAGATAACCCGATGGCATCGTATATGTCTCCCTCTTCATCTCTGTCTGTCTGTCTGTCTGTCTGGAAGAGCTGTTGTACTCTCGCATACTTCGTTTGCATTCGGGATGCCCAGCCCGAATCCCAGGGTCGAGCTAAAGCACCTAACTCCTGAAAGGAAGATCCGACGAGCTAGTGCGAGAATCGGCCGAACTTGCGTCTGTGCACCTGTGCGCTATAGCTTGAAGCCAGATCAGAGCCGGATCCTCACTTTCTATGCATAAACCCGCGAAGGGCCAGGCTCGGATGACCGCAGAATCCTAGCAAGGAGCCTTTGCGACCGTAATAGAAAAGGGTCGGTTATGCTGGATCCAGGAGGGTTGTAGGAACATCGTGGGGATGATGTAATGATATACATGCATGTGTATACATACATACATGCATGCATTCATTCGTTCATTCATTCATTCATTCATGCATTCATACATACCACATGCATACCCGTGGGCCACACACACACATATATATATAGAGAGAGAGAGACACATACACACACACATATATATATATATATACACACACACTTTTGTTTGATCATCGGTTTATGTTTGCGCCGTATTCTTACTTGTCAGACATCCAAACGTACGTACTTTTCTCAAACTTGATGAGTCTGTAGACCTGAACCCAAGATTCCTGTCCGCCAACGTGTGTGAGTCGAAGCCCTCAGCCCTATACACCCCAAGCTCCCATTTCCACATCCCTCTGAACCCGAGGCCTGCGTTAAAAGCTTCAACAGCCGTTAAAACGCTCAAAAGCAGAGGCTTCTGACGGAGCCCCGCCTGGCGCGTGAGAGGGCTCCATGGAAGCCTTGTGGTCTTTTCTTCGAGGCGCTGGGTGCCCTTGGGTATAGGAACATCCGGAAAGTGCGCAGGCACGATCTGGAGCCGCTTCTGCTAGCATGCGCATGAAGTATGCTGCCTCCCTCTTGACGCCGAGCTCGTCCTAAGCCCCTAATCCATACTGTGGCCGTTTAGGCCCTAGCCGCTTGCATCGCCGCTCATCGCCCCTTCCAGTTGAAATCGCATCAAGATGAGCGTCCAGGAAGATGTGAAGACGCCAGTGCCACCGAGGTGCATGGTGCTCTTGGCCGACTGGTGCAATGTGTGGGCAGGTATCACCTTGGTCGTCTCCTTCTCCCTCATTACAGGTGCATTTACTTTCAATTGGTTCAAGATGTCTGGCGCTGTCCATACAATCATGCAGGTGACCATGTGTGCCGAAGGTGTCCTTTGGGCGGTGGCCGCAGGCCTCTTGACGAAGATTAACATGATTGTGAACAATGCATCGCTGGCTGTTGTGCAGACGATCATTTGCTTCGGTGGC